AGCCACAGATTTGGCACATGGCAGTTATTGGTGACCTTGACAAGGACAGTCTCTATGAAATAGTGTAGTCAAAGTCTGATTGAAGTGGATTAAGAGATTGTAAGAAAGCTGGTGGAGTCAATATCTATAAACAACTTTATCAAGAAATTTTACTCTAAGAAATGGGGCAGTAGCTGGAGGGAGATGTGGAGTCAAGAGAGGTTTTTGGTTGTGTGTGTGGGGGGTATGTTTAGAGAAAAGATGCTAGAGTGTATTTATATACTAATGAGAATGATCTGGTAGAAAGGTGAAAACTGATTATGATTATGCAAGAGAAAATATAATAATAGAAAATATCTTGAGAGGTAGAAGGGTTAGGATTCATAGTGTAAGTAGGGAGATTAGTTTTCAATAGGAGAAGACAGAACTGCAATCGGGGAGAAGACAAAATTGCAGATAGGTTGGTAGATGTGTGGTAGAAAGTTAAGAATGTTACTATGTGAGTAATTCTATTTACCATTGACATAAAAGTCAATACGCAGAATGGGAAGAGTATAGATTGGAAGAGAGGTATAAGTAGTTGGAAAGGGGAAAAGTGAACTATATATACATATATATGTGTATATATGTATGTATATGTATATATGTGTACGTATACACACACACACACGTGCATATATACATAAACACAGTGAGTGGGTATTTGTGTGTATGTAATACACCATGGGGGAAAAGATGTATAAAATATTTTAAAGCCATTCTTACTGAATATTTTTGAGACATCTTATTTGAAGGACCTGAAATAATTCTTTGCTTTCCGAGGACTCTAACGTTCTCTTTTCCATAATGTAGAGATTAAGTGAGGACTTCTCAATGCCATACATACATCTCATGTTTTGTTATTTATTTTTGTCTATTACAGAGTAAAAGGCAGAAATATTTTGTAGCTATTCTAATTCAAAACCTATGAAAATTAAAATTAGTTTGATCTCAAAAGATGTGTATTATATACTCAAGCTGGCAGTTTTCTTAAAATACTTTTTTGGGAGAGTTTTGAGCCCCCATCTGAATTAAAAAAAAAAAAAAGAGGCAAACAGGCTCTAATCATTTAGTAAAACAATACTTTTGTTTTGTTTTGTTTTCATATGAAAATCATCAGGACCATCTGTCATTTAGGAGAAACACATGGGCAATATGGTTGTTTTGTTCATTGTGCCCTCTCTATCCTATTGGAAGAATGTGATCTTTTAACTGTGCTTGGATCTTTATTTCTGGATAGGATGTATGTAATTCAATGTGTTGAATGTATAGGTGCATATGGATTTGATGTAAAATTAGATTGTGATTAATGGAATAAGATTGCTCTCCATTCTTTTGCTGTTTTAGCATAGACAAAAATATAAAGATGTATGTGTACATATGAATATGTATTTGATTAAACACTTAATATTTAAATGGCCATGTCAAATATTAAATGGTAGATGTCGACAGTTGCAGTGAATTCAAAATAAAATAGTTATAAAACTCTTTGTAGCACAAATCCTAAAAAGTTTAATTTAATACTTAATAGTACATTTAAATAAAATACCTAGATAACATCTGTCTAGGTTGAGGCATTTAATCTCATAGAGCAATATTCGACTAATGAAAAACTGCAGCTGAAAACATTTCTCCTTCCTATAAGTATGAATATGATTTTTAAAATGTATCTCTCTGTAACCTGTCATAAAGTTAATTATCACTAATTATGGATTTAGCAGTGTACCCATCTCCTCTTATAAAAGGGGGAAAAGATCTATTTGTGACAATAAGGAAGTACAGCACTGTATTTTTTCTCTTTGTTATTACTGTTTCTCTTTGATATCTATTTAGAGCTTCAATATATGCCTTCCACTCAGGTTCCTTACACAGACTATGTTCTCTTTTCTGGTTGTAAAACAAGATTATAGAGAGATAAACACAGTAAAAGGGTGTTAACAATTGAACTGCAATCCTACCTATTATCTACTTTGCTATAGCAGTGAAATAGTCCAGACTTACTTCAAGGTGGTATTGTTTTCATCTTATAAAAATCTACTGTAATATTACAATGTTCCATGTAAATTTTCATGTGCTGGCATGCTTACAAATAATAGTGTTATAGAATGCTCAGCTCTCAATGAGGGATTGTTTGTGGTTAATTGCATTACATACGTCACCTATTTGCTGAAAGAATATGGTGTTCAGCAAAACTACCTGCTGAGCAACATAATAAGATTTTTGTACAAAGTACAAATTACTAATTATTGTATTTTATTTTTCTATGATTTCCTAAGAGGCATTACCAGGGTCTTACAGATGGAGTAAGCCTGTTTATTAAAATATCTATTAGCAAATAAAAGTAACAGTTCTGGTGGTTAAATCTGTGACTTTTTTGTACTGTTGTATTGATGAATATTAAATATAATTTATTTTTTAATCTCTTAAATCTAGACGCTCTTTAGATATGTAATTCTGGATGCAAAATCATAGCTGTAATTTTTCAAAATAATTATCATTAGTGTCAAGTCATAAAATCACATAAATCACTATAAATGGATACACATTTTTGTAGTGATTTAATATTGACAAACTATTTTGTGAGCTTAAATAAATTGTTCATCGCAGAGGTAATACTGTACATAAATTGCAAATGACCAAAAAACATACATAATGTCCGACTATTCATGGCTTTATGCCTCAGCACTCATTCCAAAAATGTGCAATAAATTATGAATCAGGGATTTTCTATATTCTTTTAAAAGCTGCTGGTAAGAAAATACATAAAAAGTTCCTCAGTTAATCAGAATAGTGTTGTAGCCATCATCTTAGACTTAACTCTTTTATAATTCTTCTACTACATTTCTTAAAGCTGGTTATAAAATACCTGAAATTTCCTTCTCTTATACAAGTATTTTAAGTAGCCTCAGAAAATTACATGCCATTTTTAAAGCTTCTCACCCTTATAATAAAATGAAGACAGCCAAACTAACTTATTAAATCAAGTGGAATAATTTTTATGCTGAGCTTTTCAGTACTCAAAAGCAGTTTCAGTTCACAAAGTACCAAAATGCAGTTTCAACCATATGAAATATTTGTTTTTAAACTTTTACATATTCTTAAAACTGGCATTTTCTATGTTATTGAGTACACTGTGGGTTTCACTATTTAATCTCTAATGATAAGCCATCACATCAACTACACTTATCTAAGATAACAATTTACTTAGCTATTTTTTTGTCAAAGAATTATGTATATGGCTAAATTTACTGAAAATTTGGAAATCCAATCTCCCAATCAGATTTCTAATTTTCGCCAAATGTTTTGTACTAAGCAAAAATAGAAAACCTAAGAGCAGAAAAATACCAACTCCAAACAGGAAAAAATAAGTCTGTACACCAACATTTCCTGAAACATAAGATTTCTACTTAACTCTAAGAAAAAAAAAAAAAGTCATATTCAGGCTACAAGGAAATTAGCTTCCAAGTCTCATCAAAATGAATCACAAATGCCTGACACAAGAAAAGAAATCAGTACTTCCCTGAAAATGGATTTAAGTCAGAAGTTAATGAACCAGAATATTTAGGAATTGGGTCAAACCCTATCCATATAATAAAAATTTCAGGATAAAGGAAAACAGGAACTTATTTACTGAACACCTACTATGTGCCAAACAACATACGTTTTAAATCTATTCAATCCTCAAAACTACCAAATGAGATAGTGTATTTTTGAAAGTGAGGAAGCTAAAGCATGGAGAAGGGTTAAATGGCCTAAGGCCACACAGTTAGGAAGAATATATCCATACTCCCAATTTTTTTCAAGGACATTGTGAACATTTTGGAATAGAGAACTATTGGGTTTTTGTTAGTTTTAGCCTTTCAAGAGTCACTTACCCAGAACCATACTCTTTTTCATTGTAAAACAACCACTGCTACAAATTTGGAAACATAACAAAAACATACCCCTATAATCATCCACATAAACACTCCCCTCATTAATTTTATATAATTCTTGTAGTCTCTTTTCACCGTCCTAGTCCGCTTAATAGGTAAAATTAATTAATAGGCCAAAGATCAGGCAGGGTGGTAAAAACATAACCCTAGCTAGTGTGTGTCTGTTTGGTGGAGGTGGTGGTGGTGGTGGGGGTGTCCCATACTCTTGGCCAAAAAGGAAACTGTAGATGAAAATTTAAGAGGAAGGGTTTCATCCATGAAAACCACTCATTGGTGTGGGTGGTGGGAAGGGTGAGGCTAGGTAAGTTGAAAGATTATTCCAAATGTAGTCTGTCCCTTGGAAAGCGAGGTTATAAAAATGTGGAAAAATAAGTAAATCTAAATATTTTCAACTGGCGTATCACTGCTACTATAAAATCTCAGTGCAATTTTTAAAAGGTAGTTAACGTTGAGAATTCAGACTATTCTCTTCCTGACCACCTACGGATTTGATTCTGGGGACAGTAATCTCATCACCGATTATGGCTAGTGTAAATCTCTTTAGGCGATCACACAGCTAAACCAGGGTACAGGCATACTTCCTCTGCCAAGTCACGCTTCCGACTTTTCACACCAGTGTTATCTCCACTCCCTACCCACAGTATCAGTTTTCAGGACTCCACGGTCTGTGGCCTATAAGACCCCGGAAAGCCTCCGTGGGAGGGCAGCGGGGAAACTGGCGCACGCGTGGCCAGCTGTGTTCTTCCGCCGTTGCCACCACGCTCTGCGCGTGCCCGGTAAAAACGCAGAGGTACTTCCTCGCCCACCCCAGCGTGTTGGAATTGCAGATGTTTTCCTGCGAGTCTGAGAAAGACGTGGGCGGAAAAACGCGCACACAGCGAACGCGACGCCAAGCATTTCCCAGCAGGCTGTGCGCACGCCTACAACTCCCATCATGCTCCATTTGGGACACCGCTTCACTTCGCAAGAAGGCGGCCGTTCACCCCGCCACCTGTCTTCACACCTTTAATATTCCTTGGTGTGCCTCTGACGTTCCCCGGAGGTCTTCAATCCCGTAAACAAGAGCACCAAGGCTACACTTAGAAGTTCAAGGAGGCGTGGCTTAGGGACCGGAAGAACGTCCGGTTGCCAAGGGAACCCCACGCGCCTAGGCGCCGGCCCAGCCACTGATGCTCCCGCTGAGGCACAGGCAGCGGGTTCACCCAACTTGTAGAACCGGCCTTGCTCAGGAGCAGGGATTCTTACAGAGGCGGCATAGAGACGAAGGCTGAGAGACGCTCGATATTTATCCCACAAACGGATACGAGCGAGTGGTCGGTTCCTGTTCTCTTCAGCCCCTGGGCCCGCAGGATTAACTTCAAAAACCAGGTATGCTTCCCGTTCCCTCCGCCCTTGTTTTATAGCCAGCGCCGCCGCCGCCACCACCGCTCCTGTCGCATTTTGGAATTGCACTTTGCTTTACTGTTTTTCACTCCGTACCGTTGTTTCTAAAGTGTAAGAGGTGGAAAAGGACAGAGGATTTATGCGGTTAGTACTAGGGATCTCAGAAGGCTCATGGTTTGGGCGAATTTGTTCGGTTTTATCACCGCCCAGATTTCGTGTTTTTATTTGGTGTGTGGGAAATGTTTGAAATGTCATCCTCAAGAACAAACACGAATAAAAATGTTTGAAGTACTAAAAATGTGCTATAATTCACTCTAGGAACTTTTTTTTTAAGTTTACGCAGTACCATTCATGGTGTGTTTCTTTGCCCTGTTACTGTCTGCGGCTTACTACCTTCCAAGCTCTTTACTGTGGATAACATCCTAATTCTTCAAGACTTTTATGGCAGCAAGTAATCCTTTAGAAAGCAGTTTCTCAGATAACAACCAGGAGAATGTGATTGGCTGGTGCGCAGTAAAACAGTAAGATAACAAAAAATTAAGGATAGAGCAGAGCCATATTGAACCCTAAAAGCTGCACGTGGACTTCGTTCTGAAAGCCAGCAGTTCTCAGTAGTAACTGTACATCAGAAATACTGTGTCGTTTTTTTAAAATACTGATGCCCTAATCCCATCACCAGAAATACTAATTCAGTAGTTGATTCCAGGGTGCAGCCAAAGTTGCGAATCATGGCTTTAGGCATAGGGAGCTACATATAAAACTTTATCTCCCATTGTGCGCAGAGGGCATGGTGAACAAATGTTGAGTGGCTTAAATCGTTATCTATGCTCCTTTCATACATGGGAAAAGTAAAAAGTTACAGAAATGTATGATTACTAAGAAATAGAAACATATATGTATAAGGCTATAATTAACATCTTTTAGAACAATTGACTTCTGAAGTATATGTCCCAAAATATTTCATTAACAAACATTAGTTTTAATAATCTATGAAAAAGGGCTGGAAAATCACAATCCAGTATTCTTTGGAAAGTGAATATTCAAGTATCAAGTGTTTGACAGTCAGTGCTTTCTAGTGGATGCCCAGAGGATGATGATGTGAGAAGTGGTCATTTTTTAAAAAAATTTGTTCAAAATTGTATGGAAAATGGAAAACAAGATTTTTTTAACAAGTTAACGTATAATGTATTATTTGCTTCAGGAGTGAGATATTATCTTTTTATCAATATGTTCAGTACAATAAATAACAAAGTGAGGATAGCAAATCTACTTTTGAATTAAAGTAGTCTGTGTAAGTTATTTCATGGTTTAGAAGGCTAACGTATTGTCGATTCTACAAATGTTCCTTAAGCTGAGATTTAAAGGAATGGGTTGAGTGAGATTTGAGTCTCCAACACAAGGAGAAAAGTGGTACAACTGAGAACCTGAAATCAAACCCATCCCTTAGATAAGACAACTGTGAATCTCTTATAGGCCCCAAGCTCTTGTGGGGCACTGTGCCTGCCCTTTTCTGCACATCATTGAAATTTGGTTTTGAAATTTCTCAGTATGCTCCCCCAAGGGGCCTAAGCAAAAATCCGCGATGCCGCTTCCATTTGAAACGTTGTCTTGGAAACCTCATCATTTAAGTTGCTGCAGCTTCACATCCTTCAAGGTATGGGCCTTGCTTAGGATAGTGTGAGGTAAAAAATACTAAAGGAGTTGCGGGATGACAGGCTCCTGGAACTTTAGATGGAGAGGAGAATAAATCAATCAAATTAGATGAATATTTAGAGAACTTTGAAAATGGTGGTTAGGAGAGTAATGGGAAATATTTTGGACGTAGGCAGATTGTAGTCATTGCTGTAGCAGTCCCTGCACCAGTTGAGGGCTGGCAACAGGGATATCTCTCTTCTCCCATGATAATGTTTTGGGGAGTGATGGACCCAAGGGGAACCCCTTTGGAAAGTTTCATTTAGAAAGTTCATAGCAGGTTATGAGCAAGTGATATTTGTAGCAATATAGTATATATTAAAGTAAATATATCTGTTAATATTTGTTTTGTTTGATAGAAAATGCAACTTAAACCAAATATAATCAAGCAAACAAACAAAAACAGTGAATTTAATATTTATTGCTTCAGATTATTGCATAGTACAACAGTGGGGTTGGCTTCAGAAGATTTATTTAGCTCAAATAGTGTAACCAAAATCTTAGTTTTTCTCCTTTCTGATCTGCCTTCTATTTTCTGAACTTTAGCATTTGGCTCTACATGGACTCCTTTGCCCACACATTGTTCCGGGTTTCTAGAAAGGCTACAGATACTTTCAAGATCACAAGTGGCAGACTCCATGTGATACTGAGTTTAACAATATTTTCATCTTAAATATTATAATTTACCAGAAGACATATACAGCTATTTCAAGGGCATTGTTCTTTGTGTTGCCTAGGGATATAAGCTGCCAATCTGCATTTCAGATAAGGCTCCTTTGTGCTAATCAGCTTAAACTTTGTTTAGTAAATACAATGCTACATTAACATGGCTTTTCTGATTGTGTCTTTAAATTATTAATTTTTTTTTTATGATCATGCTTATATTTTCCAGACCTAAGTTGCCTGTGATTGATATATCTTTTTTACTTTCTAATTTGTAGCTGGTTTGTAAATATTTGAATCACATTATGGGATTGCTAGACAGACTTTCAGGCTTGCTTGGCCTAAAGAAGAAGGAGGTTCATGTTTTGTGCCTTGGGCTGGATAATAGTGGCAAAACAACAATCATTAACAAACTTAAACCTTCAAATGTAAGTATCTTTGTTAGATGCTTTATGTATTTTCTGTTAGAGAAAGTTAACATGCAGAATTATTTTGTTTGCCATCATTACTTCATATAGTCATATTTTGAAATCCTATTAACCTTATAGTACCTTAAAGTAATAAATGTCAATCAGACATAATTTACAGTGTATTTTATGCAGATATATAGGTGAGTCTTGATTATTTAAGCTGGAATATTTTCCAAATGTCTTTTTTTTTCTTAAAAAATCCTAACAAATTTGTGAAATTCACTTTTAGGTAGCATTGCTTTCTTTTTGGCTCCCTCTTTACAAGAGAAACAAAACAGAGGGAATGGTGAATCATTTTTATGGGTTCAGTGGATAATTAGCAGCTTCCCAGGAATGTGGTATGCATATCAGTAATAGTAAGCAGAATGACTTTAAGTCATTTAAGTAATAAGTATATGAACATGTAATTTTAATAATTGAAAAATAAGTAAAGCTAGCACATTCAACACATGGTACATAGAAGTTGGGTTTTTGCTACATAAAAAGAAAACCCTTATAACAGTAGACTAAATAAGATAGAACCTTCTTTTTCTAATCTAAGTAAGTCCAGTGGAGGTCTTCCAGGGCTGGTAGTGCAGCTATGTAGTCAGTCATGAGACATCTAGGCATCTTCTATCTTCCTGTCCTGCTGTTCTAAGTGCACCATTTTCATCTTCAAGATCTCCACATGGTCACCTTGGTTAACTGTATTCTAAGTCACAGGGAGGAGAAAAGAACAAGGCAAAAGAAGAGGCCCACTTGCTAAATAAGCCTTCTTTAAAGAACTTACCCAGAAGCACCAAGTAATGATTCCCAACTTCTGTCTCATTGGCTACCCCTATCTGTAAATGAAGCTGGATTTTTTTTTTTTTAAAGCAGGTCATAGTGCTGCTTCCAAAAATAATAGGGGTCTTAAAAGTATGGAAGAAGAGGAGGATGGATATTGGATAGACAACTAACATTTACAGTTGTAAATACACTTATTTAGGCAAAAGCCATTAGTGAATTAATGAAAAATGTAGAGTGAAAAAATAATATAAACTGCATACAGATAGGGCAGAAACTAAGAAGCTGATACTGTTAATGACTAAATGGCTAGAGGATGGGAAATAATTGCTCCTAAATATGGTAGTTGCCTCCAGACAGTGTTTTGGGTTGGGCAGAATAAGCAGCCTTACTACTCCATTTTCTTTTGCAGTAGCTTCAGTTTTACCTTTGGAGATTGCTCTGAAATACAAAAACACCATTATTTCTTTTTTTGTTTGTTTTTTCCCCTGGTCATTATTCCCTTCTACATAGAGGCGTTTACCACATAAGAACAGCTAACTGCTGGTGTATTTTCCGTTGGGAGTTAGTATGAGATGGTCAGGATAAGAAACCAAAAATGGATTTGGAAGGCAATTCAGGTGTTTTAAGGAGTTCCTCAGCTGAATTGGGAGTCAGCTGAGGTATGCATGCTGAAGTCAGGCAAAGATAAAAAATATCAGCTTTATTTAATTTTGGAGGGCAAGGGTTAGGTCTGTTTAGAGGACTTACTAACACTCCATTGTATTGAGATTGACCTCCCAAAACTTTGGGGTTTCCTCCTTGGGGAAAGATCCTACTCTTCTAGAGTCATTTCTTGGCTAAGATCAGATGAGAGTGAGTGCTTGTGAGAGGCATATGGCACTAAAATGAGAGAGTAGAGAGACACAGAACCAAGAATGCTCGGTTCTGTCCCACAAACTGAACAAAGGAGTAATTCTCTACCCATGGAGAGGAATAAATTGAAGGAGGTGAGTTAGAGAAATACCATTTAATGAAGTTTTTTCTATATGTGAAATAGGGAAAAAAGGTTAAAAAAGCCCACATACATTAGAAATCTATCTCCTGATCTAGGTGATTATAAGAAATTTATCAGTTCTTAAAAGGGAGATAAAGCATCCTACACAGTTGAATGGGGTCCAGAATTGAACTTAAGAGAACAGTGAGTATATGTTTAAAGTAGAACCATATCCAATTGTGCTTTGGCCCATAATCAGTACTGTAGATCAGCTATGAGCAGATCAGGCTGGGTTAATGCTTAAGAATCTCAGTGACTGATGACCTGAACTTCTGTAGGTAAACCTATCAGCAGTAATCAAGGGTATAAGGAAGTATTTTTAGGTAAGGGCCTAGTCTATCAGAGGGGTTTACATTTTACATTTTTCTCTACATTAAGGAATTGCCTCAAAAGTGAAAATAATAATAATAATAATAATAATAATAATAATTTTTTAAACTAGTCTTGGGTGGCTATGGTTAAGTGTCTTGATGCTTGATTTCAGCTTAGGTCATGATCTCAGGGTCCTGGGATTGAGCCCTCTTTTGGGCTATGAGCTCACACGGAGTCTGCTCCAGATTCTCTTCCTTTCCCTCTGCCCCTCCTCTCTCTCTCTCTCTCTTGCTCAAATAAATAAATAAAATCTTTAAAAAAAAATTACTCTCAAATAGGTAGAAAATAACTGAAACCAGAGCCACCATTAATAGCCACAAAATGGTGCCATGGTGGCTCAGTCAGTTAAGCATCTGACTCTTGTTTTTGGCTCAGGTCATGATCTCAGGGTCGTGGAAGTGAGCTCCATATCGGGCTCTGTGCTGAGCGTGGAGCCTGCTTGGGATTTCCTCTCTCCCTCTCCCACCCCCTCACTTTTCCTTCTCTTAAAAATAATATATAGCCACAAAATGGACCAGTTCCCAATGTCTGCTGTACTCAAATGGGCAGAAATAACATTCAAAAAACAACATAGAAATTACAGTCTCTTTCCATCATCCCCAATCTTATAGGGATTTTCCAAGACATGGTTATTACCATAGGAATAATCTTGGATATGAATGGGAATACCTTTCTTCTCCGAACAAGGATGTACTTTTAAAGACATTTGCTCTTATTTTTTAACCTACTTAGGGATTTTCTTTTCATAATTTCTTTTGTCATGTCTAGGGATTTGGGTCAGAAAGGGGAGATACCATGTACTCTGTCTGTGATCTTAAAATACTCTAATACCCCCATTTCAAACTGGCCTTGTGACCTCTTAACCCTGTCTAATGCACCATGTTAGTTAGGGAGAGCCCGCAGGAAAACCTGGGTACACAGCCAATAAATAAGGCTTTTTAATTAATCTTCCAATGCTTTCCAGCATCCCTGTTTCTCTGTTATCTCTGGTAAATTATGGAACTAGCCTAGACTTGCTATAGGGCTGTTTTAAGGGGATCACCTATTTTCTGATACCACTTCCTGAGACTTAATCTTTAGTCTTTAGTCAATTATCCTGTCTCCACAGAAGAGTTGACCTCTAGATCCTGAGAGCACAGTAAGTTGTTTTGCGTTTTTTTTCTGTTTTATTTTGTTTTGTTTTTGTTTTTAATTTGGTGTTGATAGCCAAAAGACCACTTGAAATAGAATTTCTTAAAGACCTCAAAACTTCTATCACACAGGTATAGATAAAACACTTGTTTCCTCCATGTATCTGAACTGAAGAAATCTCTTGTGAACTTACATCCACTATTGGAAACATAATTTTTAATGAATTAAGTTAATTACAGAAATCTACAATGCAAAAAAATTCACATAACTCATTTTATAGTTGTGTCTCTTATTTTTTGTGGGTAAAATCAGTTTCTAGATAACTAGATACTTCTGGACCCAAACTGGCTTTAGGCTATCTTAATGCTGATTTATTGTCAATGTATTGAGGTTGCTGGTGTTTTCTAAACTGATGAATGAGGGTGGGGAGACATTTTAACCTGATGACTCAAGAATGTGGTTTTAAGTGTATTTTCTTAGAAATGTACCCTATAAGTACCTTTTTTTCCCAATTTGCATTACCTCCCTTTGCCAGCATAAATCCTGTCATACTACCACATCATCCAGATTTATGTTCTCTCCCTCTCCCTCTATCCATCCTCCTGCTGATGTGTACTCTCTCTCTCTATCCTTAAAAGAAAAAAAAAAAGTGATGGGAAGAAAGTTGATTAATTTTATCCTTGTTAAGTAGAACAGCAAGTTAAAAGAGAAGCTCTGGAAACAAAAAAAGTCTGTGAAGAAGTTGGGTGATTGTGGAGAGGCTAGGCAAGTGTTCTAATTACAGTTCAGTGAAGATAGGGCTACTATTTTGAGGTATATTTTCTGAGATTTCTTTAAACATTTAATTTCCCCACTTTTTTATTACTAGTATTTTTTGCTAATAGTAATAGCTGGTGATTTTATCATAATTGTGATCAAAATCAAAAGTCAAAACAATGGAGTATTTTGGGACAACAAAAGTTAGGAAACTATTCCAAAGTTTTTTGTGCAGTGAAGAAACCATACCGTAAGGACTGAGGCAGGAATCTGAATGGCAGGAAATAAATTCTAACATAAACAGAATGATATTTTTGGAAGAATAAGGCAGCTCACAGGATGGAAAGAAAAGCTGAATAAACAAGCTTTAGAAAGGCAAAACCAGGCATCTCCAGGGAGGCCTTTTCACTACTACATTACTTATAAGGTGATTAAGTTTCAGTGACTTTTCAGCTACTGTCTTTTCATTTGAATTTTAAATTTCCAGAAGTGGACTACCAAATTGAACATAATGGTTTAGAGCAACAATTTACCTTCTACTCCTGTTTTCACACAAATGCAACATGATGAACTAAAAGTTTTTTGTTTTTCTTTTAAAGTTGTACTGTGGCTGTATAGAGAAAATTGGAAAGACTAAAGTTAATGACAGTATACTTATGGTATTTGTTTAGTATTTGCTGAATATGTCCAATGGACCAGATACTGTGTTGAGTATATTGCATTCAGTAACTCATTTAATTATCATGATAACTTTACAAGTTAAAGATAATAATAGATTTCACATTTGAGAAAACTAAGGTTTGGAGAAGTTGAGTAGCTAGTCTAAGGAGGCACATTAACGATTAGGAGTAATTAGAAGGTTTTTGTAGTAAATCAAAGCAAGAAATGATAAGGGCCTGAACTAAGTTAGTGAGATAGGACCAACTTACATAAAAAATGTAAGAAAAGGAGGAGTCAAGAATAACTCCTAGGTTATCAGAAAGTAGATGGTGTTTTTTATTCAAAAGGAGGAATAGTTTTGATGGTGGAAGTGTTAGGAGGCATTTAATGTCTTGTCAGTTTAAGGTGTTTTAATTGCCTTTGGGACTTGCTAACAGATCTCCTGGTATACTCTTGCCCCCTTGTAATCTCTTCTCCATACAGAATTCCCCACCATGGCCTTCAAGGCTCCACAGCTCTTTGTTACATAGAGCTGTCTGCTTACCCAGTATGTTTTAGACATACAGGCATTATACTTTGCCTGAGTGGCAAGTTCCTGCTTGCATTAGGATCATTGTACTGGCTAATTCCTTTGACTGGAATGTTCTTTACCAAGATCTTGTTATAACTTTTCTCCTTTTTCATATTCACTCTTGGGTCAGATATGACCTCCTCAGAGAGACTTTTTCTCAGCATCCTTTGCCCATGCCCCAAACCATCCCTCCTCCCCCACTGCCTCCCATCCCCAATTCACCTTTCACTACACCTAACACTGTCTGAAATCATGTTCACTTGTAGTTTACCGGGTTACTGTTGTTTACTTTCTCTAGATAATAAGCTCCATGAAAGCAGGGACCATGTAGATTCACCATCTAGACATGAGAACAGTCTGCAGTAGCATATATAAACTCAATAAGTATGTGGTGAAAGATTATAAAGTCCTATATGTGAACTCAGAATGACTCATGAATCCACTTTACAGCTATGGGAACTTGCAGCAAGCCACAAAATGTGAATTAAGACATAAACATTTCGTAATTAATAAATCTTAAACTTCTGTAAAGAATTCACACACAGTGATCCCACTGCAAAAATTATAGTTTTGTTTAATTGTCATCTCCTCAGTGACAAATTTTAGAATTGGAAACCTGGATGCTTTTTTTAGCCCAAGGGAAAATTCATGTTTTGTAGTTGCAGATTTCTCAATTTATCTTTTCTCTTGAAGGCTCAATCACAAGATATAGTTCCAACCATAGGATTCAGCATAGAGAAATTCAAATCATCCAGGTAATTCACTTTATTATACTTGTGACTAAGAAGTTGTGGGTGAAAAGTGATAATATTAGATCTACCTAGTCATTCTTTCTACTCTTAGAAAAAGTAATTTGTTGTTTCAGAAGTCCACAGAAGGTAAATTATTTGTACCACTACCTCTGGATTATTTTTTAGAATTTAGACTTTAGACAAATTCTGATAATCTCATTAGCAAGGAAAGCATCTTTTTTATGTGTTATTCATTACAAAATCATTTATATTACAAAATTTGTTTTGTGGGACTCATACTTGAAAATTGGCTCAAGTTTAATATTGTATATTCAAGGGTTGTTTCTTTGAAAACAATTTAAAATTTTAAGTAAAAGTGATACCTTAATTTAGTATCTTATAATGTAGTCATGGTTTGTTTTGTTTCGGTGTTTGGTTTTGTTTTGTTTTGTTTTGTTTTTTCTGTAGTTTGTCTTTTACAGTGTTTGACATGTCAGGTCAAGGAAGATACAGAAATCTCTGGGAACACTATTATAAGTAAGTATGTTTATAAGTGTTGGTTAACTAGGTGAATGCATTTTAATAAAAATGATTAACAAATTCAAAGGATTACATGGGCTAGGAGTCACTATTTATTTTTCATATAATTTAAGCACATTTTCTTTTTTTTTTTTTTTAAAGATTTTATTTATTTATTTGACAGAGAGAGACCACAAGTAGTCAGAGAGGCAGGCAGAGAGAGAGAGGAGGAAGCAGGCTCCCTGCTGAGCACAGAGCCGGATGTGGGGCTCGACCCCAGGACCCTGGGATCATGACCCAAGGTGAAGGCAGAGGCTTAACCCACTGAGCCACCCAGGCGCCCCTAAGCACATTTTCTAATGAAAAAGTGAAAATGTTTTATAATGAAAAAGTATAATCATAGTTCATATTGTTTCTCAGATTCTTCAGACCGTTCATGACCTTGCATCTTTGCATATACTTCTCTCTCTGTTTTTAATGCCCTGTTCTATTTTGTTGCAGTTTAAAGTTAATATAGTCATGCTTTAAGGTTAACTCAGAAGTCACCTCCTCTGTGAAATTCCACCATTTTGCCTGGTTACTCTGTTCCCAGTGTCCACACAGTATTTTACCATACTATTTATGTCTTCAAGTCGTGTACCATAGCTACCTCTCTAACGAGGGTGTAAACTGCTCAAGAGCAGGGATTATTTCTTATTCAGGTTATTTCTTCAAGGTCAAGTATGATGCCAGACATATAGATCAGTAAGTATTTATTAAACAAATTTAGTTAAAATAACAGTAGTAACTAACAGTTGATCCATTTGTTCTAAAAGCAGTTCTAAACAAGTATTTTTCAGCATATGCTAATAAAGTGCTCACTAGTTACTTCAGATTAAGAATGGTCAAGTTCCTAGTACCCAGATTATTTTGCCCTCTCAGGATTTGCGTGTGGTAGTAAAACGAATTCATTAATTGTTCATATTGCAAGGACTCTTCATGTAAAAGCAATGTAACTTACTTTTGGAGTCTGAACTTACACCAGTATCCCTTGACTAACTGCCCTTCTGTCATTAGGAATTCTTGCCTTGGAATGGTAATGAGATGACTGCCAGGTCAGATTTTAATTTTTATTGAATAGTTCTTTCCTGCTAATGTGGGAATGAACCTTGTGTTTCCTCAGCCAAAGGAGATTTTTTACAGATATTCTTTTCAATGAGTGCTTTAATAGATTGAAATCATGTTTAAATTGTACAGATCTAGAGGACCTCTGAGATACAGAGAAAAGAGTTCTTCAGATTTGAGAGTCAGTTTGGTAAAGGAAAAGTGGCACGTTTATGGTACCTTACATTAAATTCTCTGGGGAAATGTGAATTGTTTTGGGGGGTTTTTTGGATTTTTTTTTTTTTTTTTTTTTTTTTTTTTTTTTTAAGGAAACCTGAGTTTTCAGTTTAGGATTTTTTTTTCTTCTTCCTCCAGTTAGTTGATAATTCTTTTTTTATTTAAATGTGTTTATTTTAGCTACTATTTTAAAAATAACATTTATTTTAATTACAGATAACAAAAATACATAGAAAATAGTTTCAAGAAAAGGAACCATTTCAGATTTTAATTCCTTTTCCTTCAAAACCTTACTGGAAGAAATTAATTAGGAACGCTGTAGCTAAATTGTAGGTTGAATAGTGAATCTGGTTACTATGGAGACATCTACAATAATAGACTATATCTGTCTTTTTCTAATTATGAAAGAACAAGTGCATTTTAATCTATTAGACCAAAAGAGGTTAAAAAGATTAAGTCTACTATGGCAAAATAAGTCACTTTTATGGTGGGAATGTAACATCTTTTTCAGAGAAATTTATCAGTATCTTTTAAAATGAAAAATTTTCGGGCGCCTGGGTGGCTCAGTGGGTTAAGCCGCTGCCTTCGGCTCAGGTCATGATCTCAGGGTTCTGGGATCGAGTCCCGCATTGGGCTCTCTGCTCGACAGGGAGCCTGCTTCCCTCTCTCTCTCTGCCTGCCTCTCTGTCTACTTGTGATCTCGGTCTGTCAAATAAATAAATAAAATCTTTAAAAAAAAATAAAATAAAATAAAATAAAATGAAAAATTTTCTTGCTCTCTAGCCGTATTTTTTTTTTCTTGAAGAAGTATCCTATGGCTAGCACTTGTGGACAAAGATATAGATAGAAGAAAATGTTTTGAACACTGTTTATAATGACATATCTCAATTATAAAAAGAATATTACTACTCTTAACAAAAATATGTACTTGGTATATATAGAGAAGAAAAATAATTTAGTGGCATGTGCACCAAACCATTGATAACATTTGTTTTTGGAACACTAAGATTTGAAAGGAAGTTTACTTTGTTATTTATTTGATATTGTAACTTTGATTATTGTATAATTATTGCTATTATCTTTATAATATGAAAAATAAAGTATAAAATATAAGGAGTACACATTTTTTAATATTTAGAAAATATAGAAAAGAATATAAAATTTTTTTCTATAAATCTCACTACTAATAAATTTACCGTTGTTAATCTTTTTGTGTTTTTCCTTTTGAAATATAAAATATATACTTTACATAATTGAGAAAAGAGTCTTCTAAATTATGTACCACATACAGTTTTTTACCCTGCTTTTTTAGATAACATTCAATGATCAGAATAAATCAGGAAAGACATACAAAGAATATAACTAATGACTGGCTGCTTATTATTTTTTCATATGCCTATGCCTGTTTTTTAATCATTCTGTTTTTGGACATAAAAGCTATTCTCAGTTGTTGAAGATTATAAATAATCCTCCAGTTAACACACCTTGCTGCATAAATCTTTGTCATAGTTCATGATTCCTTAGCATAAATTCCAGAAATGTAATTACTGGCTCAAAGAGATTGAACATTTTTAAAACTATTGGCAGATATTTCCAATCATATCTGTTTCTGTGGCTACAGGTAATGTATGACTGGTGATAACCTATGTTCATTTTTTTTTAAATGATAGGAGAAAATGGTACTCAAAAGTGTTTTATTTTTATATTCATGTAATTGCTAATGATATTGAACTTTTAAATTCTTAGTTTGTGAATGAAATAAGTGATTCACAGAAATAGGTAAAAGGCCCAATAAATATATGCAAAGATAGTGAACTTTACGAGCAATTAATGAAATACAGTATAAAATATTATGTTGGGGGCGCCTGGGTGGCTCAGTGGGTTAAAGCCTTTGCCTTCGGCTCAGGTCATGATCCCAGCGTCTTGGGATCGAGCCCCGCATCGGGCTCTCCGCTCAGCGGGAAGCCTGCTTCCTCCTCTCTCTCTGACTGCCTCTCTGCCTACTTGTGATCTCTGTCTGTCAAATAAATAAATAAAATCTTTAAAAAAATAAATAAATAAAATAAAATATTATGTTGTTAGAATGACAGAAATGGAAGAGGATGTTAAGAGCCGTGTTGGAAAGGGGGTGAGAGAAGTACTGGTAGTATAAATTGTTAAAGTATTTCTGGAATACAGTTTGTCAATGTTTACCTAAAACTTTAAATTTTGTATGTATTCCTAGAAATTCCTAATTACAAGTCTTAAGATATCTAGAAATTTTAAAAATGTATTTAGGAGGATTTTTATTCCAAAGTTTTTCACAGTAATAAAAATTAAAAAGAATCTCTAGGTTCACAGTATTTGATGACATATCCACGCAATGGGATATTTTATAATCATTAAAAGAAAGGTGCAGAGGGAATCAGTGATTTTTTTTTAAGTACCACTGTGTTCGGTAAATGAATCCTTAAGCCATTTCAGTGGCTGGTTTTCAGCTTAAAAAAAAAATGAAATAGAATAAAATAAAAGCTATTTGTAAGTATTATTTCTGGAAACTTATTTCAAATGTAGTTACATATACTTATGTGTTTACTGCATCCTAATATAAAATGTATTTTTCACTATGGTTATGGTAAGAAATATTTGAGAAACACTGGTGTAGAACTTTAATGTTTCATTAAAAAGTAGTTCAAACTATACTGCAAAAAAAGATCAAGGAAATGTATGTGAGAAAGGCAGGGTATAAAACAACAAGATTCCATTTAAGTACAAATGTAGGTACTTCTATGTGAATATACAGAAAAAAAATGACAAAATTGATTTACCCGAGAATACTAATAATGATTGCATTTGTGTAATAGGATTATAGTTTTATTTATAATTTTTAAAAATTATGAAATAAGCATTAAATTACCATATTATCAACCAACCTAAAATAAATTATTTTATATGAAATATGACTAATGGTAACGTATTAGTCACTCATATAAACTAATACGTAATGAAAAGATAATACAGAGGGTAAGAAATGCAAATGAATGCAAACGTGGAAAAATGTATAAATTTACCTTTAATTTTTCTCATTCTTTATACAGAGAAGGACAAGCCATTATTTTTGTCATTGATAGTAGTGATAGATTAAGAATGGTTGTAGCCAAAGAAGAACTTGATACTCTGCTGAATCATCCAGGTAGTGTGTCTGTGATATCTGTGCTTTAGGATCTGTTTATATAAGATTTTTTTTTTTTTTTTTTTTGCTCTTTGGTATTGGCAGAAGTGTTCTATGTAGTTCTCTCTTATTTACAATTTTAAAATTTTTCTTACTGAAACATAATTAACATACAGTGTTCTATTAGTTTCAGGTATATAATATAATGATTCAACAGCTCTGTACATTAATGAATGTATTACTCCCCTTTGTTTTTGAATTTTAAAATACAGTAATTATTCAGAATTCATATCTACCGATAGCATCTTGTATTTTTTAAATTTCAAAGCAGTGTTTTCCAGGTCTCCAACCTTTATTTTCCCCAAAATTAAAATGTTCTTCTGATTGCATAAATAATATGTGTCAAGAGCAAAAAATGGAGACAGGAAAAAAAGAAAGAAGTAAAAATCCATGTATTTGAACTGTTATTAGAATTATTTTGGTTACTATGTTTGCAGACATGTATATATATACAGCATTTCTTACATATTTATTCGAGAACTCTTCTAAAACAGATATTTTCTGTATTTATTTATTTATTTATTAAAGATTGTATTTATTTGTCAGAGAGAGAGAGCACAAACAGGCAGAGTGGCAGGCAGAGGCAGAGAGAGAAGCAGGCTCCCGGCTGAGCAAGAAGCCTGATGCTGGACTCGATTCCAGGACTCTGGGATCATGACCTGAGCCAAAGGCAGATGCTTAACCAACTGAGCCACCCAGGGGCCCCTCTTTTCTGTTTTTAAACTCTAACTGCCAGCCCTACCCTCTTTTCAAAATACCAGTACTAACAATTTGGTATTTTTTTCTTGTTATTACTTACTAATTTGGGGTCATATTCTCTACACTCTTCTGCATCTACCTATTCTTGGAGAACACTAAACTAAACTAACACTAAACTAAACTAAATTAGAACACTAAATGCCAGAAATCCTTTTTTTTTAAAGGATAAATTTATTATTTATTTGACAGACATTGCTCACAAGTAGGCAGAGAGGCAGGCAGAGAGAGAAGGAAGCAGACTCCTTGCTGAGCAGAGAGCCAGATGCGGAGCTCGATCGCAGGACCCTGGGATCATGACCTGAGCCGAAGGCAGAGGTTTTAACCCACTAAGCCACCCAGGCGCCCCTGGAAATTCTTTTAAGTCAATGTATATATGTAATTATTCTTTTTAATAGTGACTAATATGCTGTACTATGAGTATAGCGACCATTTATTCTATTTTACCTATTATTGGATATTCTTTTTTTTCTCCACAATACATTTCTCAAGTAAGTATTGTGGAACTCTGCATTTCTAGCTTTATTCATGGGAAAAGATTTAAGTGGTCTTTGTGCTATGACTTTTAGGAAGAGGTGATGGTTTAAAAGAAGTGTGTATTTGTTAGGAATAGATTGGAAATAGTGTGAGGCTTTCTAACAGTTCTTCCTGTTTAACCACAATAACTGTTAATTTTATTGAACAACCTTAAGCTTATTCATATATTTGGGGTAATAATTATCTAGCCTGTACATTTTATGTGACTCTTTCACTTCTAAAAACTTAAGTCTTTAAATGGGTTATCTGGATTGAGAATGCATTTTTGATCATGCATTCCCTTTGTGTTAATCTTTCCACTTTTCTTCAAAAACTGTTAAAATGTTGCCAAAAAGATGAAATGATTCCTACAAAATCAGCTTCAAATACATTGGAAACCTTGGTTTCCTTAGCTGAAGCCTTGTCCAAGTAAGTTATCTTTATGTACTGATGAATTTATTTTGGGGGATAGATTCCCAAGGAAGGATTTCTCAGCTGAGGTATATGTGAACTTTAAAATTTTTTAAATTTAATTTTACTTTCTTACTGAAATATAGTTGACATACAATGTTACATTAGTTTCAGGTATATAATATAGTGATTTAACAGTTGTATATATCATGTGGTGCTTACCACAATTAGTGTAGTTACTATCTGTCACCATACAAAGTTATTACAATATTATTGACTATATTCCCTATGCTGTACTTTTTATCTCAGTGACTTACTCATTTCAGAATTGGAAGTCTGTACCTCTTAATCCCTTCACCTATTTCGCCCATCCCTCCCACCCTGTCTCCTCTGGCAACCACCAGTTTGTTCTCTATATTTATGAGTCTTTCTTTTGTTGTGTTTTTATTCACTTGTTTTGGTTTTTAGATTCTGGATATAAGTGAAATCATGGTATTTGTTTTTCTCTGACTTATTTCACTTAGCTTAACACTCTCTAGGTCTATCTACCTTGTCACAAATGGCAAGATCTTGTCCCTTATGGCTGAGTAATATTCTATTGTTTACCACATCTTCTTATCTATTCATCTGATAATGGACATTTAGGATCCTTCTGTTTCTTGTTACTCTAAATAATGCTGCAGTACACATAGGGGTGCATATTTCTTTTCAAAATTGTTTTTGTTTTCTTGGAATAAATACCCAGTACTGGAATTATTGGCTTGTATGGTATTTCTAAGAATTTTAATTTTTTGAGGAAATTCCATACTGTTTTCCATAGTGGCTGAACCAATTTACATTCCCACCAATAGTGCATTAGGGTTCCCTTTTCTTTACATTCTCACCAACACTTGATTTTCTTGTTTTTTTGATACTAGCCATTCTGACTGGTATGAGGTGATATCTCACTATAGTTTTTGTTTGTATTTTCCTGATGATTAGTGATACTGAACATCTTTTCTATTTGCCATCAGTATGTCTTCTTCAGAGAAATATCTTTTCAGGTCCTCTGCCATTTTCAAATTGGATTATTAGTGTTTTTTGGTATTAGTTGTATGAGATTTTTATATATTTTGGAAATTAATCTCCTATCAGATATATGATTTGGAAATACTTCCTCCCATTCAGTAGGTTGCCTTTTCATTTTGTTGATAGTTTCCTTCACTGTGTAAAAGCTTTTTAGGTTAATGTAGTACCACTAGTTTATTTTTCTCTTATATACCTTGCCTGAGGGAAAAATGTTGCTACAGCTGATATCCAAGAGATTACTATATCTTCTTATTGGAGTTTTATGGATTTGGGTCTTACATTTAGGTCTTTAATCCATTTTGAGTTTATTTTTATATATGGTGTAAGGAAGTGGTTCAGTTTAATTCTTCTGCGTGTAGCTATCCAGTTATTCCAACAGCATGTATTGAAAAGACTGTCTTTTCCCATTGTATTTTCTTGCCGCCTCTGTCGTAGATGAGGTGAACATAAAAGCATGGGTTTATTTCTGGGTTCTCTATTCTGTTTCATTGATCTGTGTGTCCATTTTTGTACCAGTGCAATACTATTTTGATTACTATAGCTTTGTATTATAGCTTCATATCTGGGATTGTGATACCTTCAGCTTTGTTCTTCTCAAGATTGCTTTGGCTATTTGGAGTCTTTTGTGGTTCATACAAATTTTAGAATTATTTGTTCTATTTCAGTGAGAAATACTACTGGTATTTTGATGGGAATTGCATTAAATCTGTAGGTTCCTTTGGGTAGTACAGACATTTTAACAGTATTCTTCTAATCCATGAGCTTAGTGTATCTTTCCATTTGTGTTGTCTTCAGTTTCTTTCATCAGTGCCTTATAATTTTCAGAGTACAAGTCTTTTACCTCCTTGATTAAGGTTATTCCTAGGCATTTTATTCTTTTTGTTGCAGTTGTAAATGGGATTGTTTTCTTAATTTCTCTTTTTGCTGCTTCATTATTGGTATATACAACAAATTTCTGTTTATTTTGTATCCTGTAACTTTATTGAATTCATTTATTAGTTTCAGTAGTTTTTGGTGGAACTTTTGGTTTTACTGTATATACTATGTTATTTGTAAGCAGTGAGTGACAGTTTTACTTTTCTCTGCCAGTTTATATACCTTTTATTTCTTTTTCTTGTCTAATTACTGTGGCTACGACAGTAACCACAATAAAAGTGGCAAGAGTAGACATCATTGTCTTGTTCCTACTTTTAGAGGAAAAACATTGTTTTCTACCATCGAGTATTATATTAGCTGTGAGTTTTTCATATGTGGCCTTATTATGTTGAGGTATGTTCTCTCTAACCCCACTTTGTTGAGAGTTTCTTATCATAAACTGATGTTATATTTTGTCAAATGCTTTTTTTGCATCATGTGGTTTTTATCCTTCATTTTGTTCATGGGGTATATCATGTTGATTTACTTGCTAATACTGAACCATGCTTGCATCCCTGGAATAAATCTAACTTTACCATGTTGTATGATCCTTTTAATGTATTGTTGAGTTCAATTGGTGAATATTTTGTTGAGGATTTTTGCATATATGTTCATCAAGAATACTGACCAGTAATATTTTTTTTAGAGTGTTTTGTCTGGTTTTGGTATCAGAGTAATGCTGGCCTTTTAGAATGAATTTGGAAGGTTTCTTTCTTCTTCTATTTTTTGGAATAGTTTGAGAAGGGTAAGTATTAACTCTTCTTTAAATGTTTGGTAGAATTCACCTGTGAAGCCCACGGATCCTGGACTTTTGTTTTTTGGGAGTCTTTTGTTTTTGATTCAATTTTATTACTAGCAGTCAGTCTGTTCAGATTTTCTGTGTCTTCCCGATTCTGTCTTGGAAGATTGTATGTTTCTAGGAATTTATCCATTTATTCCAGGTTGTCCAATTTGTTGGTATATAATTTTTCATAGCAGTCTGTTATAATCCTTGGTATTTCTGTGGTTCTTCAGTCTTCTCCTCTTTCATTTCTGATTGTATTCATTTGGGTTCTTTATGTCTTTTTTCCTGGATGAGTTGGCTAAAGGTATATCAGTTTTATTTATATTGGTTTCATTGATCTTTTCAGTTGGCTTTTTAGTCTCTATGTCATTTATTTTCTCCTGGAACTTTATTTCCTCCTTCTAGTAACTTTGGGCTTTGTTTGTTGTTCTTTTTCTATTTCTGTTAGGCAAAGGATCGTAATGTTTATTTGAGATTTTTTTGTTGTCATTTTTTGATGTAGGCCTGCATT